AGCAAAATACTCCCCTAAGCTTCCAGTAAAAGCATATCAGAAGTGACAAATCTTCAAAAACAAAAAAATACTACAACCAACCAACCAAAAAAGGCCAAAACCCCCACAAATCAAACAGCAAACTTTATAATATTTTTAAATATATATTCAAATTCATACTATGAAAAACATAATGGTTTACCCCAAAGATATGTGTCAAGACCTTAGAGCTATTCCAAAAACTTGATGTCGACTAATAACAGCACTTTCACCTTTACACAATTCTCATTTATGGCTAGGAATTGTTTTCATTTATGTCTTCAGCTCCCTTTTATAATTAACTGTAGAAATGATGAGCAGGAAATTTGTCAAAGAAAGCAACACATTTTTTCAGCTTAAGAGAGAGAGCCAAGATTCAAGCCTGTATCACTGTTGGACTTTGTCTTCCAATAAAAAAACAGGCATCTCCTGGCGCAGTGTTTAAGAAAGAATTCATTTCTTAAACAGGTGAAACAGGTAACAGGGCAACAGGTGAAATACATCAACAGTTTTTCAACTCATTCATTTCTAGGATAGATTAAAAATTACATCCAAATAGACCACATTAAATCAGCAGAACTAGAACCTTCAAACAAAGCACTGAAGAAGTTTAAGAGCTCCAAGAGATTACCCAGTTACTTACCATATTTAAAACAAAACATCTAGTTCTACCACATGCTCATTAGCCTAATAATCTAAACCTAATTGAAACAAAATACCCAGCTCAAGACAGAGCAATGAAGCAATTAAATTCTGACACCCTAGTGTAATTAACACCACTCAATAGGTTTCCATAGTGTGTTTTGTGAAGCACTGACACAACCAAATTTTTTGAATGAAGACTAACCGTATAATGCATGTTTAGGTGCACATCCAGGTGTCATGTGTCTCATATATTATAACTAACTCAGCTCTAGCAGCTGCACCACTGTAACCAACACTTTACACCTACTTCGCTGTAGCTGGTAGGACAGTCTGTTCTTCGGCTGTTTTGTGGCGAGGCATTTCAGAGCTTGACATTCCACTCTAGAAAGAGGTTTCAGCAGTAAAGACTACGATTTACAGCTATCTGCTTATTTATACACTTGTCGTAGTTAGCTCTTCACCGAGCAGAAAAAGCACCATTGAATCACGTGGCTGAAAAGCGCTCGGTAAGTGAGCACAGTCACTTTCTTTAATGAGTAACTCACTACTGTAGCGACACTAACAATGTCCATCAAAGCTCTGTATCAGCAACATTTATCTACTAGAGCTCTGTATGTTGAAGTGATAGTAACGAGAATGACGGGATGCGAAGGGGAAAGAAGGAGGAAAAAACCATAATTGAGCTAAGTTCTACTTGTCAACCGGGGCACCCCAGCTTCACCTTTCCGATCTCCACTAAGCCCAGCACTCTGCCAGAGGACGGCATCGACTGGCGCTTCTCAGAAATGGAGGGGAAAGCAGAAAACCCCTCCCGTGCAGGGCTCTCACCGTCCCCAGGCGCTCGGAGCGCTCCGCTGCCGGCCAGGGCAGGACCTACCCGTGCAGCAGTCCCGAGACACCTGTGCCCACTGCCCACCTGTGCCCGCTCGCCGCGGGTCGGGAGCGCCCTCCCGGTGCCCTCGGAGCTCTCGCGGCCCCGGCTGGCGGGATGGGATGGACGGGATGTGCGCGGTCCGTGCCCCGCTCCCCCCGCAGCCGCTGGAGCGCCCTAACCCCGCTGCCCTCCGGGCGGGCTGACCCGCGTGTTCCGCCCGGCCCGCTTCCCTCACCCGCTGCCGGCGGCCCGCCCGCCGGGGAGGGACTTGAGAGGGATCTCCATGGGCCGCGGCCGCTGCCCGGACAGGGCAGGACTCCGGCGGAGCAGCCCCGGCCCCGCAGCCTGCCCTGCCCTGCCGGCCGCGCCGCCTTTATGGGCCCGGCGGAGGAGGGCGCCCGCAGCCCACGTGCCCTGCGGGTCCGGATCCCTCTGCCCCTGCCCCGCCGCCTCCGCCCCGAGAGCGGGCTCCGGCTGCAAGAGTTCGGCTCCGTGCTCTCAGGCACATGGTGCCACACTTGGGGATTTCCCCTGCACGGCTGGTGTAACCCTTGTCTCATGCGGGACCGGTGTGACTCTTGGGGATGTCCTGAGCAGGACTGAGAGTTGGACTGGATCATCCTTGTAGGTCCCCTCCAACTCAGCATAATCTCCGATTCTGCAACAGCAGTTGCTTTACTGCCAGCTAGTAGTTGTAGACACAGAACACTGCAGGTGAGATTAGCTACTACAGAGTTGGTCGTCTTGCAGGTCGAGGTATTTTGTTCCTCAAAAGATGTGGTTTAATGCGGTAACTCCAAACTAAGGTATTCAAAACAGAATGTAGACTCGTAAGAGGCATCATTGCAGCAACTGAGCTCTCTACCTGCCCACACAGTGGACATGGGCAGCGCAGGATTCTTACATAATGCTCTCAGATGATGCTGTATTTGGTTGTGGTCACACTGTGTAAGGGAGAAGAGGGAACAAAAGTCCAGACAAACATCCATATGCAGTTTCTCAATATTAACTGCAAGAGCATTGTGTCAATTCATGCTGAAAGTGTTCTTAAGACTTCCTCTGGTATCAGCTAGTGCATGAGGCAGGAAGATGCTCCTCACAGGTGCAGCCACAGGTTTTGTTTTTTACAGCAATATCTGTGTGTTGTCCTATTGCTTGTCTCCATTCCTGTCCCCCCATCTGCCAGATAAATTTTGCCTTTATATATTTTAATACTGGATAGGCATGAGAAGATATGAATTTGATTTCTTACTCTTTTGCACACACACTGTTTATCTTTACTTAGAAGCAAGTAAGCCTCTTCCTGTCAAGTGTAACTTCATTATGTGAAAAGATCTGGGCTCTGCTGAAAACAAGAAGTTCTTCCTAATTGTATATGCAAAACATTGGCATTGAAATAAGCCTTGGTAGGAAAACAGTTGTTGCCCAGTATAGTACTCTGCAACTTATTTTCATGAGGAAATACTGACTATTGGTATTTTCAGGTGATTTTCCAGAGCCCAGTGAGAATCAGAACAAAGAAAATCTCTTACCCCTCCATAGCTTCTTGGTCAGGGCTGAAAGCCTTGTTTCCCTTAGGATGGCATATTTAAGCAACTTTATCAGATGCTTTATCTGCTTCCTTGTTCTCCTCAGCTGCTTTTTACAGTTCTATCTGTGCCTGCTTGATTATATCAGCATAAAGATAGTGGTGTCTCCAGGATGCATCTTTACATGTGCCACCAGCATTGCTAATGCTGAAATCACTAATACGCTGAAGTCACAAGGGTTTTTTATAAGATCATTGTCACACATCTTGGCTCTGCAAGGCCATAACCAGCCCAACATATATTGATAAAATTAAAAAGCCTCACCACACACACAACAGCAGCAGCCAGAGTTCTGGCAGAGCTGTACTTCATCTCAAATTCAGCCAGCAGGCTAGAAAACATAGCATTGACTCACTTCTTCTCAGGTGAGGAAAATACTCAGGCAGAAGATCTCAAACACTAAGGATCAAACAGGTCAGGAAACTGGACAAGCAAGCACTTCGACTGCCAGCAGTAGCACCAAGGTGAACAATGCGTGTTTGTGTGTCTGCGTTCTTCTTTAAAAAATCAGAATGTAAGTATCAGACGTATAATACAAGCAGCATTTATTTTCCCAGTCAGAACCGGACATTTTGAGCAGCTTAAGTCAGTAACCTTTCAGGCTACTGCTCTTCTTTCCCAGTGTAACAGCCTGCACCCATAGCCAGAAACACACAATTGCTGCCCTGCTAGATTTATAAGCAGTTGTCCCTTCTTTTCCCCTCACCCCATCGTATCCTTTGCTTTAAACATCCTTCTCCTTCTTTTAGATAGCCTTCCCCTCTGGCTTCACAGTCTGCCCTGCCCGTTACTTGTCTGAAGGCAACTTGTAATTCATCAACTCATTCCTCCCCAAAAGCCACACAACTCCCAGCAATGCTAAATTAAAAGCTGAGGAACCCAGCAGAAGTAACACAGACCGTGGTTTTCCAAATAATTTCTGCATCTCAGTTGATTGACTTTTTAGCTGTAGCACAGGCACAGGTCATCACTTAAAAACTCTACCAGGGATTTCACTGCTTCATTTCAGGCAATAGAAACCAATCTTCAGTGGAAGACTTCACCTCTTGTATTAGGAATAGAAAGAATCTATATACAGAATCTTTTCCTGCTTTGTGGTCACCCGTTGTAGCTTTCCACGCCTTATGCTCATACTGCATACATGCTTTCTCTCTGCTATTGTAAAACTCTGTAAGAATTTGACACTTTAGAGCTCTGTAAATTTTGTTGAAACTTGCTGCCAATTTAATGTTAACGGTGACAAAACACATGTTCTTCTCCATTTCTAAATGAAATCAGACAACTTCTTGCCTTATAACTGTATTGGCAAACAAAGTATTCCACAGCTGTTTACAAAATGTACCCGTATTTTAAGTGATTTATTAATCTTAGCTTTCTCTTGACTTTGTATGAAAAAGCCATGTAAGTCTGCCTTCTGCATTTCATTGACCTTAAAGTGCTTGCCACCCTTACCAGAATTCCTTACATAAATTACTGTATACAATAGTGATGTGCACATTATATTTTGTGCGTTGTCAAAGGTCCATAAGGATAATTGTGTCAAGAGAAAACATGGTCACTTAATATTTGCTTTTTGAGGCAAGATACTGTGAATAATCTGCCTATGCCTTGCATTTGGTTTGCCTTCACTGAATTTGGAGTGTTTTTTGTATAAAGTTAAATACTTGAATATTTGTTTCTATGGCAAATTGTGAAATGCTGTTAAACATCAGCTGGAAACAGGTCCTCACCTGGGCCCATGACTACAGGAAATCCAAGTTCACACACTCCACATTCCATTTCATGCCAGAAATTGCATAGCACTATTAAAAAACAAAGCTCCTATATTAATCTGGCAACATATTTACTCTTAAGATGAATACTGACACACCCAATACTTACTGCAGCTGTGTTTATTGTAGCACATTTACAATGTGTAGACATTCAGACAGAACATATTTAGTGTCCTCTGCAGCATTCATTATACATTGTCACACACAGCTACAGCAATGTTGCTCAGAAATGCAAGTTCTCTAAAACACACTTCCCTTTAGTCTTCTATTCTGCTCCTAGAGTGAATAGACTATAGAAAATAAGGCATCCATTAAATAGTATCACAATCAACAAAGAATATAAACTAAGTTGTCAAAACAGAACTTTTATAAGAGCCAATGTTTCAGCCAGCCACTGACAGTAGCAGGCTATTCAGTTGCTAGGAAACATCCAGTTTCTGAAGTGTGGAGAGAGATAAGACTCTCAGAGACATCTCCTGTGTCTTTAACTTAGTTATAACTTCAGTTTTACAGACTTGTATGCCAGAGGAAGATTTCAAATTTTTAAAAAATAGGTGTTTTGAAAGGGTTTTTGTCTGATTTTTCCTTTAAAAACGTAAGATCCAAACACTGTTAAGCTGAAGACTGTAACTGACCCTGCCCAGTGCTTGATACATGAGAACATTTCTCCATTCAGCTCATCCCTCAACTTCAGTTCAGCCTGGTATATCCCAGCCTCTCTGAGAATAGATTGCCACTTACATCCAGTGGTACTTGTGTTTAAAGAAATATTTATTTTATGCTTTCAGCGGTATTTGAGTGGCTTGGTGTATCAACTCACTGTAATGACTCCAGAAACAAATTACACCAAATTTCATAGTATCTCTTTTTACTGTGAGTGCAAATAAACCAAAAATTCTGAGGGCTCTAGTGAGCTTTCATTAATTCAGTAACAGGTCAGCCATAGACAGATAATGCCTGCAGCACTGAGGGCTAGGCTGGTGTTCAAAGCTGAAGTTGTCCAACACGAGTTCTACTTACAGTTGAAAGTTATTACATTTATATTCTACTCTTATGATCTAGCCAAGTCTCTGAACACAGACAAGTTTTTATGCCCTTTTCATTCTAGCACAATTTAACTGAGGAAACAAATAGAATAAAACAAATAAAAACCAACCCCAAGCCCCCTGAACTAGCAGTGAATGTCTAATCAAAAAGTCTGTAAGTTTAGCATAAACTTCTGCCATGGGCTTACACTGTTTTTTGAGAAAAGCAAATAAAGTCTTCAGAGATAAGGTTTTCCACCAGCTCCATTGTCCAGTTCTTGCAATGTGTGCTGCTTTAAAGCCTCCATGACACGCTCCCACAATCCATTAAATATGTTCACTACATACAACCTGTACAAGAGAGGAGGGGGAAGCTGTCAAGTACATGCATCAAAATAATAGTTTCACTGTCCAAGGAGCCTTAAAATGCAACTGAACTATTAATAATTTGACATTCATTGACAAGAAACTGCTACGAACCACCAGAAAACATTCTGAACATGAGACTGCTCTCCTAGATGCCTGGTCCCCACTGCACAGTCAGTAGGAAAATTATTACATCCCCACCCTGTCCCATCTTATGCTGGATTTCTTGTCTGGTTAAACTGAGAGGTGTGTGCAGAAAAGGAAATATTGATGTGTCCATGCCCTTTACTCAGGAGCAAGATGCCCTGCTCTGCTTCATCCCACACTTTTATCTCCAGTAAGACACTCGGTCAGAACAGGGGCTGGCTCACAGCAGGCTCTGTCATCTCACTGCTCCAAAACATGTTCCCATCTCTTCCTTCTCATAGATATGTTCTATCAGGCATATAACACACCAGAAAACCCCAACACCAAGGAGTTGCACCTTTCGTCTTTTTAATCAAGGAGCAAATATTTTTCAGTTCCCCACCAAAAAGGCTCTTCAGCAAGGAAGACTCAGACTTGCTGCCAGCCAGGTTAAATATAAACCACATATCCTGCAATCAGTACTCCTGAAGAAACACAACTTCAAATAACTGAAGCGTTTTCTCTCCATAATGGAAGTTAGGCAATGTTTTCCAAGTGCTGTGATAGTATCTTAAACTGCATGCTGTCTTAAAACCTTGACAAGCTGATTTTCTCCCCAAGTTTCAGGCCTGTTACCCACACAAGGTATGATTAAAAAGTGGATAAGAGACCACTGAGTGAGTTCTCTAAGTCCTGCCTGTTGCAGTGAGTACAGGAAATGTTAATGCTTACACATTGCACATATGGGGTTCCCAAGTTTCTGTAACTATTATCTTATTTTCTGTATAATTTTTCACACATTAAATGATCCTTAATTTGGAACTTCCCTCACATCTTCTAAGAAATTTGTTGGTTGCAGACATTTTGCTGAAGTGCTCTGTTCATTAGAAATAATTTTGGATTTTTGTGTGGGTTTCCCCCATACACACAACTTCCCCCAAAATTTAAGTACTTTTCATAAACATTGTACCAGGGACATTTTTAGCATGATGCTTTTAAATATACCTCAATAGGTATATTAAGTAATAATTTAATAATTAATAGTTTTAATATAGATACATACCATTACAACAACAGAAGAGAGATGCAGAACTTTCGTCCTCTAGCCTGTACCTCCCAGAGTTTGGCGAGTCTTTGCACTGTGATATAAATCTCTGAAGTTCTGTCTCGGGAAAGCCATCTTGTTGGTAGTGCTAAAAATTGATACTTAGTTAAACCTCTAACAAGGCTAAAACCTACAATAACCCAAATTCTCCCCAGACCACTTTTGAGTGTGAAATTAGAAGATTCATGGGATCTAATGTGAAAATACTGCTTTTTAGTAGATATTTAGCTTACATTGGAGCAGAAAGACAGAGAGACTTTTAAAGAAAAACTAAGTAGAGAGGGATTAAAAACCCTCCTGTCATCACTTTGCACTCTCAAAAGTAGTCATTATATTTATTCTTTAGATTGGCATGCACTGCAAGTTACAGTATTGAGGGAGATGAGAGTTTTGACAGCACCAATCTTGCACGGTTACTCCAAATGAACACTGTGCTTACCTTGACTGTTTCATACGTATCTGTAATGAGTGCAATGAAGAGACTCAGCACCATATAGATGAACAGACTTATGAAGGAGTAGAGGTATATCCTACTGAACAACCAAACCAAGTAACTTTTCTGCTGCATTTCTGCAAAGGTGGCAAACATGTCATCTCCATTGATCAGTGAAAAAAGGCATTCAGAAACCATGTTCAGAGTACGAAACTAGACAGGAGGGAAGAAGACAAGGACATATCACTGCTTTATTTGGACACAGAAACTGTACATAACATGAAGAACATAGACTACTGATGACTGGCTACCTCAGATCTCTTCCTACACCCAGGGGATGACAAGGTGCAAACAGTAAAACATCTGAGGAACAAGCAAAGTTTGTTGCCTCCTACATACATGTGCATTCCATTCAGATAAGCAAATTTTCTTTTAAGAGGCATAAGCATAATGTCTCCAAAGTTTTAGTCTGATACCAGTGTTCTGCAGACTGGAAATTATTTCCTAAAATATCAGCATGTGATTGGGAGTCACAGCAGCTTCCACTTCTGACTTAGAGCTTTCATAACTTGAGGAAAGTCTGATTGAGTCATGAAAATCAGACTCCTCAAACAGAGCAGCATCATGTTGAAGATGTACTATTTTTACATTAAGGGAAGCCTTGACATGGAGAACTAGAAAACAACAGTAGCAATCTCTCACTCTGTTATTCAAGTTGTCTTTTTTTGTGGTCAGAGCACTACCTTCACATGGTATGGTCCCAGTACAATCCATCCACAGAAACAATAGCCCAGGTAGATCATAGCAGCACAACAGCAGAACCTCATTACATTGGGTAATGCTGCTCGCAGTGTTAGGATGAGAAGCTGTACAAAGCAATGCAAACAGTTAGAATTCAACCAGATACTTCTTCCAGTCCTCTTATAGCAACAAACAGAATAAATACCAACAACATGAAGATCCCAGGAGATCCTTACATTATACTTCTGAAAGAAACCTAGGTAGCGAATGACTCCAAGCCACACAAGCATGGTGGATATTCCTAAGAGTATGCTGCAGACATCATAACTTGTCAGACTCTGAAAAAAAGCAAGAGAAGAAGCAAAAAAATAAGAAAGGAAAAAATTCGTTATTGCAACAACTGGCAGGTTCTTAATTGTGACTCCCATTACTACAAAGATTTGTTCAGGAACATTTTTCCTTTGGCAAACTCTCCCAATTAGAAATTAGTTTGACTCAATGTACATTAGAGATAGGTCCCACAAAAGAGCAGGGGCACTTTCAAGTGCAACTCATTTCTTTGCAATGCCTTTACAAATGTCTGTTTGTAAAACAGATTCATACAAGATGAGCTGCATTTGCAAGGCCAAGAGAGCAGGTGCACTGCAGAGACATTTCCTCTGTACCTAGCTTACCAAGATCTGCAGTGGCACTGCAAACATTTTTATGCTGCTTCCAGACTTGCAGCAACTGCTTCTGGAATCTGCATTGACAGATTCCTCAGAGCATCTAAGGAACCTCTGCACTGCATCTCAATGAACAGTGTAAATATGACATAGAACAAAGAAACTTCTTCCAGTCTGAAGGAAAAGCTCTGTAAAAATTAGCGTGACTTGTCAGCATTGCTCAGATAAATACTCAGGAGTTGTTATGTAATTGGGAACTATGAGCTATATAAAGCTATCAAGGAGAAGACTACTTAGTTTCTAATGAATTCTATCTAGAACTTATATCTATTGGCACATGTCTGTTTTTTTCACCTATAGATACTGGCCTGTCTTCATCCAAATTAGCATGTGCTCTGATCCTGAACTGCAGCTCTACTCTGACATGGATCGTGACAGCTCATTTGAAAAGAAGTTTTCATTCATTTCTGTTTCTATTCTCCTAAGAATAAAACATAAATAATAGATATTGGCAATGGATATTGGCTAATCTTTCCTATCAGCATAATTAGTTTAGAGCTTGACAAGAAACAAATTTAGGCTACTTTAACGTGAACTTGTTATTCAAGCACTTTCATACAGTAACATGGAGCAAGATCTTGTTATTATGGTCCACAAGGCTTGCAAAATGTAGCAAAATGTACCTGTAGAGAGGAGTTTTAGTAAAATACTCTTACATATAGAAACTGATAGATTTATAATATAAGATAAAGGAATCCCAAATGCAAGATCTTATTCCAATCTTGTTCTCTTCTTTGCTTCTCCCAAAGCAGGATGGAGCTATCTCTTATCTTAGGCAACTTCCTCACAGCTTCTTTCTACTCTCAGTGAGTTTATATGTCCTATGGTGAGACAGGACAATTTGTACAGGGTGTTTGTGATAGTCAAGTTGTCAGCAGACAGATTTCAGACCCATCCTCTCATCACTACTGTCCAAAGTCCACTATGTTCCAATGTCACACTTCAAAGTGTGCTACAGATTTTGTGAAGAACAGTATTATCTACATAACAGAGTGCTTCTGGATAGCATATTATAATAATTTTTCTTGCCTAATTATGTAAAACACAATGTTTTACAAGTTTTGAGTTTTATCCATAACAAGTTTATTTTAGCAAGTGAAAGCCCAGAACCTGCTGTGGCTGACTGTTATGTACATGCTGGAAAACAGAAGCTGAGAAAGCAGCAAAGTGATATTTAAGGGGAGAGACTCTGCTAAACACTTGTAAACAGAGTTCCAAAAGTTAAATGGTTAAATGCTAAACATGAAGAAAATCATCAAATGACAAAATATAGGTGAGGAAAGGAGGAAGTCAACAGATAAACCTTCAGAGATGAACTACATTTTATTTCACAGAGTCATAGGGAACAAAGATAATTCAGCACTATAATAGTGATACTTAGAGTTTTTAAATCTTGCTACTAGAAACAACAGGCATGAGTTGCAATTTTGGAGGAGAAGAGAGAGTTTTAAAATGTCATGCCACTCAGAAGCAAGTACAGCCAGCCTGAAGTTCTCTGAGAAATTTAAACCTAGGTTAGACAGAAACAGTTTTGCTTTCATCTGACAGTGTGAAAAGCCTACCTTAGCTTGTATCTCCATCTTTAGAGTTGATCCAACAATAGTCAGGACATCGCTAACTATAATCAGGATGTACCATCCGTTGACAAATTCCATTTGATCACTGAAAGATACTTCTTTCTTATAATAATATAGGAAAAAGCTTACAAATTCCTAGGGGAAAGGAGGAAAGAAAACAGTTAATAAGACATACACAAGGCAAGGCTTTCCAAAGAAGGAGCTATACCCACCCTTTGGAGCCAAATTCCTTTAATCACTGATCGTGTGCAAAGGATCAATGAAGTCAGACAAGTCAATATGACAAAAGCATCAAAGATCATCATGTAATGAGTGTTCTTCTGTACTGCAAGAACAAAAATGTACATGTTTATAGTCCATTTATTCTTGATGACTGTCATTGAAGTAAAAATCTAGTTTGGATGTTAACTACATTTATATAACCAAATTAAGAAAAATCTTAGCATTTTCTTCCACCGAAGTTTATCTGACGTATTTTATGAGACACAAGTATATCTGCACTACAGATACCACTTCAGTAAATTTAGGAGGGTTAATACCACATCAAAAATATACCAGAATGTGAGTGCTTCTTACAGACCTGCAGGATTATAGGTGAGAGTTAATCATTTTACAGGGACTGGAATGGCCTTTGGAGTCATAGAGCTGCTCAGAATTTTTTTTTTAAATCCTAGGAATTTGATAACATGTACCTTCTCTTTCAGACCAGTACTTGACAATCAGTTTTTCTGTTCTAGGGCAATACAGATAACTTGTACTATTGCTCAGCTAGTCAAGATCAACATTGAGTTAGACATGAGTTCTCCATCTCTTATGTTACTAAAATTCACATTCTTGATCATTTTATGTTAAACATTGCACTGAATATTTTTATTTGTTTTTTTATCTACCATACAGCTGAAAATAGGTGAGACAGAAGAAGGATTAGATTTTAATGCTAAAAGGATGAGGAAAAAAAAATCAAACTAATAAATGCTAAGTTTGCAAGAACATGCATCAATTCTACAAAACGGGCTGCTGAAATTCTGGTTGACTTCACGAACTGCGCTGCTCAGAAAAAGCCCACCCAGTACTTCCTTGTTACTCTGCTGCCATTTAAGTTGGTTTTGCCATGTAGGGCAGAACAGCAAGGTGTTGTTATTGTGCAGCTGCAGCCATCAGCTGTCTACCTTTCCCTGGATTTCAGAGCATAGGAGAGGGACTCCGGGAGATGGTTTGGAGGTGCTGGGGGCGCACTCGGGCCCCGGCGCGGACCGCGGGACGGGCGGGCGGGATCGGCGCCGGCAGCGCCGCCCGCTGGGCACTGCTGGCACGGCAGCCGCCGACTGAGCACCAGCGCTGAGCTCCGCCATGCACTTCCTTCAGTCACCCGTAATTAATTCCAGTCTGGATCTTCACAAAAACACCAGTTATCCTTTTTCACTACCCTCATTCCCTAACAAAGGCATAGCAAAAATGGCAAAGTAGAAAGTAGGACCTAGTTTATCCTGTTGCAAAGTGGAATCTAAAACTCCTGGAAAGCTTCCAACTATCAAAGAGATTATTTTTGCTAATGACAAAAGATTATGTTTTGTGCAGGCCAAATATCTGCCAAAAAATGTGGCTCATTCTTGTGAGTCACTATATAAGAAATTTAACCATCCTGTGCACCTCAGTTATAGCCAAATACGCAGCAAATTGCATTTAAGCAACAATAAGAAGTCTTTCTAGCCATTCCAGCAAGCCTTAGCAACAGTGCTTCCTTATCTTTCCTGGTGCTAAGTCCTGAAATAAGAGTAAATCAGCTTCAACTTTTCACCACTATCATGTGTCCTGTTGCTTGGTGCTAGAACAGTTTACAACTTTGCCTTAAGAAATTCGCAGCATTAAGTCCAGTAGCATAAGATAGAAGGATGTACAACGAGGTATGGAAACATTTTGGTTTGACATTATCAATGGTGCAAGCCTTAAGAATTGCTACAGAAAGTAACAGTGTGGCAGGATTCTCAGGTTTTCAGATCAGAGGTTGAAGAACAACAGTTTCTTAGAAAATCAGATGTAGAGTGCATACTAGAAATTGTATGTTAATGGTGCCTCACTTTTTCATAAAGAAAATGGTTAACAAACATTGTGCTAGTGGACAAAATTTCAGCATGAAAATTTGAACATATTTATGTCACTTACTCGATCCAGAAACGTGCCAGTCTTTACATTCCCTGATTGCTATGTCATTGTCTAGACTTATTTTAATTCTTCCGCTGTGTGCTTTATTATCAAACACAATCTGTATTAAAACCAAAAACAAAAAAAGCTCATGTCTTTATAAAGTTAAACAATTACATATGTATCCCACTGTATTGCTAAGCCTGCATAATGATGCAGAATGATTCTCCTAGGGAAGAGGTTACAAAACTTTTCTAAGCTTAAACTAATTCCAGTATCTTCAAATAAATGCTGTCAAAATGAAAGACAAATCTCTTGAACCACGTATTTGCCACAAATTGTTTGATCAACTAGTTACTAGGTGAAATTCTTTTAAACTACATTCTTATTCCTCTATGATCTGAAAACAACCTTTCCCAGAAGCATCTCTCTAAAGAGAAGAGATTTACACTTCGATTATACTTCAGATGGATTAGAGCACAAGAGGCTGTAAGCCAAGCAAGTACTTCAGGACCACATCAGGAGCATTCAAAGCTTAACCTCCCACAGTGACAGCTGCTGGTTATTTACATGGTACACCAAGCCATAACAGAGTAATCCAGGCACCACTGACCCAGTGATACTCAACACTCTTCAGAAAATACCAGTGCTGACTGTGTGCAGTAAACCAGCAAATCATTTTCTGGTTTTGAACAGAGAGACACGTGGCAGGCTTCCACATACCCGCAGAGTGAAATCGTAGCAGTCGGGGAGCTCGTGGTGACGAACGGTCTGGAGGTTGATTGCCTTCAGATTGAACATGAGCTGCACTGCCACCAGTCTGAAACAGAGCTCCAGGTTAGCCTTGCACAGGGAAAATGCACCAAAACCCCAACACAGGAGGTGCTCATTCCTCCTCACCTGGGGAAATCCAGAGTGAAATTCAAATTGTGCTTTCCCATTGTTGTGTTGTCTAATGAAGTCGTTGGCTCAATGTACAAGCAGTCTGGAATGGATAAGGACTCACAACAATATCTCATGGATTATCAGGTTCTTTAACTGTAATCTGCCTGTCCCACTCCCGAGGCTGTTATGAGCTGTTGGCTACACCAGACAAGATAGCACACTTGAGTGAGGAGTCATGTGAGAAGCCAACTGACAAATACACTGGCTTCCCTGAACACCAGCCAAGTTATTCATCATTAATTCACAGGGAACGCTCCTGAAAATTATCCCCAATACTTGTATTAGATGGCCATCAGTGCTAAAGGTTCCTCACTTCTTTGTGGCATCAGACATTGGAGCTGAGGGCTAGAGGCTAGTTACACAGAACTTTTCTTACCAGTTTTGGCTGGTACTAAGCTCAATACAGATCATGTGATAAGACTATACCGTACTATAAAGTTTTTTAAGGAATTTATCAAAAATGTAGGTCCCGTCCTCCCAAAGAACTGATAAAATAGATTAGGTTCATCACCAGTCACAATCTCTGGGTCTATATCAAACGTGTCATTTCCAGGACAGATGATTCCTCGCTTGTAGAACTGCTGACAAACAGCCAGAGGTGTCTCTTCTGCTCCCTTCTTCTCATAAGCGTGATTTCCAACAGAGATGTTGGGCAGCTGGAGGTACTAAAGTTCAGAACAAACAAATCAACTCAAATGCCAGTAAAACTGTTAGTCTCTGAAGAAAAAAAACAAAAAACAAAGCAAACACAGAAGTGTTTGGATCAGTTATAACCCATCTCTTTTATTTAAAAGGTCACCTAAAGAGCTGTGAAACCTAAACCACACCACAGCTGAGTCCTCAAATATTTTAAGGTATTTGACAAAAGCACTAAGTACAGGATTTGGATCTCAATACCTCTTGGCTTATTATGTTTTTCTCTTTGCAATCCTTACTAGAAAGCCTAATTTGTTACTTGCAAAGAATTCTGGCTCAGGTCCAAGGAGTGATTTTTGTGTAGAACTAGTACACTGATTAACTTTAAGGATGTTGCCACACTACAGTGCTCCAGCAATTACAGAAAAACTTAAGAAGTTGATGCTTCAGTCTTAAGCAATTGACACAGAAGTTCAATTTAAAAAAAGCTACCCAGGCAAAGATCGTATATATTGTACATATTGCAGCAACAATCCCTACCTGGTTTATTGCAAAGAATATCTGGTCATAGACATCTGTTTGTGTGTACACGGCATAGGTATCATCCATTCTGTCCATATACCCTTTCAAGAAAAGATGTTTGAATGCAATAGTGTTCTCTTCTTTGAAGGCAACCACCATTTGATTGCTCAATCCGAAAACCACCAGCTGAAAAAGACATTTATATTTCCTGTTCAAAGACAAAGTTAGCTTCTGGATTAACATGTGAACCCTGTTTTACGAATAGCCAGTCTTTTGTCTCACTAGTAGACACATGGCAATTACATGCAGGCTGCTCCATTGCACAGCTGGTCAAATGAAAGTTTGACTTTAAGGAAACAGCGGGTTTCACAAATGTGCCTTTAAGACATTTACAGCTTCTTGGCTAAGGACGGGCATTTTTACAAAGGAAACGACACCATCTCGAGTTCAGCTCCCTGTATACTGTTACACACGCTTTGTTAGTTCGGCCTGGCGTCAATTGACTAGCCCGGGGGGAATATCATCGTTCCTCAGCCAAAAAGGCAGGCAGGACAGGACTTAACAAGACCCCACTTCGAAGTCCTTATTCCAGTGCACAAAAGGGAAATTGAGGACAGCTCAGGAAAACAAACATCTCTCAATCAAGTTTCAGTGAAAAGCACTTTGAGAATAACTCACCAAAGCTGTGCTTGTAACAAGATAACACCTGAAGCTGGTAAAAAAGGTATATTGCACCCGTTTATGAAAAGCGAGCACAAAACTCTGGGAGCTACTATCCAGACTGGAAAAGGTTTCTAGAAATACATGATGTATTTCTGGGAGCTCACAATTCTCTTGACTATTGTTTCAAATCTAGTGTCAGATGTATTGTGAAGAAACTCATCAGAGATAAGTCTGAATCAGTAGTCTACAGATTAGTTTTATGGCCATGGTGCAAACTGGATATGCAGGTTTTGATAAGGGTAACTCAATTACAGAGATACTGAAATGCTCTGTATGCAAGCTCAGCATGCTCAGCACACAGGAATACACCAGCAAACCAGCACTGCTCAGACTGAACTACCTACAGGCAGATTTTCTCTGAAAACACAAAATCAGCATTACTCTTTTTCCTATTTGGATTCTTCCATCATCAAACTTTACTTTTAGTTGCAAAATGGGAGAGATGGCAATCAGAGAATGATGACACATGTAAAAACGAAGTAGTAAGAGACACAGCGTGCTGCCAGATGCACAGCTGGAGAACTCTTATTTCTGCAGTTTGTGCCATCATTCATGCAAATGGAAAGAAAACATTCTTTTCTATAGATGTATTGTCATAGCACCGGGATGACAATAAAGGGAAATCATATGTGAGTATATCTGAAGGATCATCTGAGGCCTTAGAAAGGTTTTATGAAAACTTCCTTCTGCCTTAGCCACACAACTTTGAGACAAACAACTGTATTTTGAGCAGCAGATGAATGTGTTACATGAAGACTGGTGCAACGCTGGGTGAGAGAAAGAGTGAGAAAGAATTTCTGAGGTTTTTTTTCAATGCAAGAGTTTGTATGACATATGCAAGATATAAGAGAACTTCGTGAAAAAGTCACCAATTTCAGTTCTCATCACTGTGATATTGAAACAGAAACGACTTCTCCTTCCTTCAAACACAACAAACATCGGGGTAACAGATGTGTAGGGATGCCTTCCTTTGGGGGGAAAATGGCAAAGATAAAAAAAGTAAAGTAAAAAGTCAAGTTGAGCCCTTAAACATGGTTCCTTTCATCTGTACTCCAGGAAGGCTATTTTTTTCAGACCACAGTTTTAGGAGAAAATTATGCCACATGAGATCTAAGCTACATATATGCAAATAAGATAATTTTGCAATTTATCCTTTCCCTTTCTCTGCACCACACCGTGAATACCATGTCACCTGCATTCATTTGACTTGTCACAGGCTGAGTCCCTGCTTCCATAGGTACTCACCTGAACTGTAACCATTACTATTTTGAGTAACTGAATCCCAAGTTTCCAAGGCTTTCTGCCCCGGGCCCAAAATTTCTCGCATGGGTTCATGAAGAAAAATTTCAACTTCCTTCTAAGCTGGTCTTCCAAAAGCCCCTCCTGTGATACTGATGAGTGTCGTTTGTAGCTGCAAAGGTTTTCATCATCATGCACATTGCAGCTGCTCACAGTCACTTCAGGATTTTCCATTTCTGAAAAAAAACCCAATCTTTGTCAGTTAAAAAACATGCAAGCATCAATACAGTAGATCAGTCTGCACTAAAAACTTGAATTCCAAAGACGTTTATCTTCTGTGAGAGGCACTTGTCTATTACCCCGAATTTCAGACCTTTCTCATATTATTGCACACATTCTGCAGAACTCCAAGAAAAATTTGGGCAAATCCTTAAATTTGCAGCTAGGCTGCCAGGACACTTATTTAACAGTGGAGTTTTTGTCCATTAGGAATTACAATGTCACTTCCTGAAAACTTCTTCCTTTCTCACTTGACAACAACAGCATATATGCAAGACATCCTGACTCAAGAACACCAAAAGTCTCTCATGAGCATTCACTCTTCTGGAAAAATTATCTACTGCTGTAGCTAGTAATTTCCCCCACACCTACAAGCCTATGTCCAGTCTCTGAAAGAAATGGAATTTCAAAGAGAGGCAGCAGCTTTCTTATACATTGCTATTAGCATGGCTACTCTTGGAAACGGAGATGAAGCATGACAAATTGCAATTCAGATAAATTACCTGAGAGCATTAACTTGTCATTTGGCAGGATTACGTCTTTTTCTTTTGCCATAAAAGATCCAATGCAAATCACCAGTGATGATGAACCAAACAAAAAGACCAAGAGGTAGTTGAATCATGATTAGCCAAAGAGGCTCACATTTGAGCTCAGTATGAGGGGAAAAGATTAGATGAAAACTTCATAAACATGTTTTGAGACATTACTCTGCTTAGTATTCAGCATATTTACATTTTGATCTGTTACTAAATTCACTGACCCTCAAACATTTTATAAATGCTTTATAAAATATTTAAGAACTAGCCAGGAATATTTATTCCAGATTAAAGACAGCCTAGGCTGTGAATAAAGGTGTGCCTTATTAGACAGTTTATTTTTATTCCCATAAGAATAGTTTTGCGTATAACTCAAAAAATCATCATCAAGATTGATTTTTACTGATGTCCAGTCACATTCAGTCTCCTGCAGCAGCCCCTGCACACAGCAGAACAACATTCTGTTTCAGATATGATTCGAGACCTTCAATTTCCCCTATTGTCAGGGAAAGCAAGAAATGTTTTGAGTCAGCAGTGTAACACTAAGAACAAGCCCATAAAGAGGCCGAAAAAAGTTCAGCTCCTGTTTTATCAGACCTCCATTGTCCTGCAGGATAGAGTACAGTGTGCTGTGGTTTCCACTCATCTTTCTCACAGCTGATCCGGCATTTCTAAAATTAAGCCCTACTCTGCCACTGCAATAGCCCTGTCAATATCTGTGCTGGACTTAAAAACAACATGAACAAAACAAAACAAACAAAAACCCAAACGCAGTTCTGGCCCTCACGGCGGTGGGCTTGAGACGCCGTTCGCGGGTGCGCAGCCCCGTGTTCCCCCACAGCCCGGGCTGGGGTCTGTGCAGCCGGGGCTGTCACAGCCGGGGCGGTCACTGCGGGCCGGGCCCTTCCCTCAGCCGCCCGCCCCTCGGCAGCCGCTGCAGGATTCCCAACACCCGCGGGTACCGCAGCCCTGCGGATGGCACAGGGGCCGACACGGGAGCCGCCCGCACCCGCATCACCACCCCCGTCCAGGCCGGAGCGCGGCAGCCGCTGCCCCTCCCGGGCCCGGCGCCCCTTTCCTGCGGCACCCCGAAGGAGCAGGCTGGGGGCCGAGGTGTACCCCTCCCCGTCCCCGCTGCTAAAGGCTCCGGTGTACCTGCCACCCGTGCCCGCTCCTGCCGCGCCGCTCCTGCCGCTGCCCGGCCCCCGGGGGCTGCTGCCGCCGCGGGGGCGGCCGTGGGAGCGCGGTGCCCTCAGCCCGGTGCCCTCAGCCCGGTGCCCGCAGCCGCCCCCGCGCCCTCCTGGCTCCGCTTGGCTGGGCGGGAGAGCCGCGGCCCCTGCCAGCCCGCCCCGGCCCCCGGGCTGGGCTGTGCCGGCCGTGCCGTGCCGTGCTGTGCCGTGCCGGGCTAGGCTAGGCTAGGCTCGGCTAGGCTAGGCTCAGCTATGCGGGGCTGTGCCGTGCCGTGCCGTGCACACCGGCACGCGCGGCCTCTGACACCTTGCGCTGCTCATCTCCCGCCTGCCGCACGTGACGGGCGGCTCTCCACTGTAATACACTTCCTAGAGGATGGGAATGCCAGCTCCAGATTTATTGACCTAGGCTTCTCCACCAGGGGAAGTAATATTTATGTTATAAATAGCTGTGACGCACCCGTCAAAAACAACCCTCAAACAAAACAAAACAACCCCCAAACAAAACAAACAACAAAAAGCCCCAAAAATCCCTTTCAGGTGACAAGACTGTAGTTATGAAGGGCAGCTAGTGGTACAGCGGATATGCTTAGGTCTTTCCACTTATACATAATTAAGCTATTAAAGTTATTAACTGAACTTCAAAGAGAACGGGCTCCTGCCTTGGGTCTGTGCAGTTCCACTGCACTGCAGAAATGATCCCTTTGGCATTGCTGCCTGACAGGAGGATAAACCTCGGGTTATAACTGTGCACAGTCTTCAGCTGCCTAATTCGTGCTGCAAATACCACCCTGAACACTGGTATAAAAAGAGAAGGTAAAATAAGGCCAAGACGAAAGCAAGGAGAGTAGCAGGCATTTCGAGAAAGGGAACTTCCTGGCTTGACACGGAAGACAGGAAGAACCCTCCTGCTTACCATAAGAAGGGATGGACCTCGGAGTGGCACCAAGGACCAGCCCTGGGTGCTCCACACGAAGAGAAAAGCTCCTGTGTTTTACATTGCATTAAGGCAAACTAAATTATTTTTATGCATCCGAAATACAAAAGATACAGATTACAAATCTTCATATTAGCAAACCGCATCGAATCGCCTCAATCCAGCACGGCCTCAGCACTGCCCGGCAAACACCGAGGCGATGGGCTGTGGGGAGCGGGTGGCCTGGTCGCAGAGGGGACTGCCGCCGCCTGTCGCCTACAGACCCCATCATGCACCGCGCCCCAGAGTGCCGCCGGTGGCGCCTCTCCGGCGCACGGCATGCTGGGACGAGTAGTTCGCGTCTGGCGCGTCCCTGCAAGCTGCCGCCGCGGGGGCGGGTTTGCAGAGCAAGGCGCTGATTGCCTGTCCGAGCCGTCAATCACGGCTGGCCCCGTCGCCGTGACAACGGCGCGCCGCCGGGGACGCGCCGGGCCGGAGCCGCAATCGCGCAGGTAGGGGACAAAGGGCACGAAGGGGACCCGGCAGCGCTGCGGAAGCGGTCACAGTGCCCGACCCGAGGGCACACGGGCAGTGGCCGGCAGGGCACGGAGCCCGGGACTGCCCCGTGCGGCCGAGCCGCCTCTTCCCGCGGCACTGGCAGCGGGCCCGAGGCAGCGCCCTCCTCGGTGCCCCTGAGGGGCTGTGCCCAAGGCTGGGGGGCCGGGGACGAGCCCGGGGCTGCAAACACGGCCCAGCCCCGCCGCACCCCCCGGCTACTGCAAACCCCCGCAAATCCACACCCCCAGCCCCCGTCTCCACACGGGATCTTGTTCCAGTCCCCCAGCTCTCACATTTCGAAGACCAGATGATTATTTTTCTTACCTCTGCTTAAAGAAGCCTTATCTATTGTAAAATTTTACAATATAGCCTTTCTGTTTCAGAAGTCATGACAATGCAACATATGTTACTGTTTGGCTCCATGTTATGACAACTTCTATATCTTACTTGGTAACTTTTTAAGTACCAACCACATCGTTACTCTATTTTAATAACCTAGACCAGCTGTAGTGGTTCATACCAGAAGTTCCGTCCGGGCAAGATAATAGTAAAGCCCTATTTCCACTCTTAGCGCCCTTTTTTTTTTTTTTTTTTTTTTTTTTTCTGGTTTAATTTCTGTAGCCAGATGTACTACCATTATTTTTAGTAGCCTTCAGTTTTTCATCTTGTCAGTTTACATTCTGAAATGGTGTGCTTCTGACAGCTGTCCTCTCCACAGGCAGTATATTCCATAAGTCACAAACTTGTTGTGCAATGAAACTTCTGCAGTCCTGTTGTTTGTTCCCAGTTGTTTGTTCCACATCCCTAAGCTCATATGATGCCAGCTCGACCTCATGTTAGGACCATGAATCAGCATCTCCTGGTCACTTTCTCTGTGTCTCTTGTGATTTCACTGACTTATATAATTTTCAGGCTAAAAATAATCCTTGTTTATTCCTAGTACAAAATATGTTCTATGTCTTCAATCATCCTTGTTATACCTTTTCCAATTTTAATCTGCTTCTCTTTGAGTAGAAGAGAGAATCAGAATACAGTATTAACCAACATTCTAACGAAGTTTTCCATTTTGTTCTTTTATGGCTTTCTTATTAATTTAAATTTACACATATTGAACTTACCATCCCAGATACTGTAACTATACCTACTGGTTTCTACCAAATAACAAAATCAACATCAGGTTAAAGTAAACCTGATTTAATAAAAAGTTGCAAGTGTGAAACCAGGTAGATTCAAATGGAACTATTTATATGCTGAAATGATTTGGCAGTTACCAAAACTTCAGCTTTACTCCCTACTTATACATTCAAGTTGTGTCCAAATACGCACAAGGATTATTAATAATTTTTAATAATTTTGTATTATTTGCTCTTTGTCTAGAGCAAAATAGAATAAATTTAATTAAAGACAATTTTGCATGTGAATTTCTGGAGAGAATAATTTTCAAGATGGTATTTTTAACAAGTTTCTAAACGTTTACCAACAGAAATGTGGTTTTTAGCTTGCTAGTGAGACAACAAATAAAGCAATTAGCACATGGTTTTGATCCTTTCCTTGCAATGCTTTTGTGAAATGGACATGCATCCAAATCTTCAATCATTCCAAATTATAGTAAATTACAGTCCTAAAATAGTAATGCACACAAACTTTACCTTAAATCATTCAATTAGGCAACTAATGAGTCATTCTGTGTCCTCAAATCAGGTGGCATCTTTTGTAGAACTGATAACTAATTAGTTTTTGCCTTTTGCAGTACCTAGCAACTTCACGTATTTGTTCATAGCTGTAAATGTTTCAGTACATTAAAATGTTAGGAGAACACCCTGATCTTATTTTTTCTCTTAAGCCTAATGTTCAAAATATTAGTGCCATCTGTAAACAAACTAGGCTATAAAATGTCAAACAAAGTTGTCAAATATTTACCCAGGTTTTAGCAATTACATGATGTAACACTGTGTTCCACTGAAAAACTGGTGAAAAAATAGACTGAACATAATTAATGAAATCTAAATATTATTTACTTTTTAAAAATAAAATACATGGCAATATTTATGACAATTTATTTTCAAAAGCTATAATTTTATATAGATTTTGCACTCTTAAAATTTTCAAATTATGTTAATTTAAATGTTGTTTCCAACCTCTTCTCAATCACAGAATCATGAATTTTTATAAACATAATGTAAAGGCACAATACATTTGTGTGTGCCTTGACAAGTCCTTTTTAAATGAGCAGTATAGAAATATACCTAAGAGAATAGGAACTAACCATAGATTAAAAAGTTAATAGTTTTGGTTACATTTTCAGACAGCCCACTAATATAGAAGGTTTTTCTCGTGGCTTTCTTGATAGGATTTAGTATTTTATATAAAAACTTTAGTAAAAAAAAGCAAACCCCTGAACTAAGAGGTAACTACTGAAAATAGTAGCTTTTAACTTACATTTTGGGACTTTTGTTCTTTTATAATTTTTTGGAAGAGGTGAGATACAAAAGGCTGCTCCTCAGTACATATTTGAAAGTTCTCAGCGTGTGTTTCCTGAAGGGAGCACCTGGAGGTTGCCATATTCCTGTGTAAAAGCCAACATTGCATATAGGCTTTGTAAGTGGCTGTGGGCCTGGGTATGCTTCCAGAGAAGTTTCTGGAAACTCTGCCTTGGCTTTCTCTGCAGGCCTTCCCTGCACTTTCCTGACCACTGACAATCATATGGCCACAGGATGACAGAGGGGCAGGGTGATACTGTATTGAGGACATTGTAAAGGAAGATAAGGAGTTTGTAATTTTCTATCTGCTTTCCAGCTGGGAGGTCCTGTGCATCCCAGAGGGAAGCACGAACAGTCCTGACTCTCTATTCACCTGCAGCCTTAAACTGGGGCACTTTTTGTATTAACAAATGTAAATGCATGCACCAGGCACTGACACCAGCTGCACCACCACAGCCCTTCTCTCTGTAGTGCTGCACCTACCTCTACACCTCATCCTTGCAGTGAAGGAGGAACTGATTACTGGGACACCATTTTCAAGAGTCTGTTTTTATAGGTCAATTATACTTGAAATCAGTTGAAGAAAAGGGATGTTTTTATTTGTGAGTTATTTTACTAAATATAGGATGTGTCTTATGTCAGCTTTCTCAGTGTTTCCTCCATTCATGTGACTTAGAGTTTAGGATACTCAGAGGAACTCACTCAGAATTTCCAAACTAGTTTTGTTGCACTGCATAATTATGAAATGGTGAAGTAAGTCACATTGTGACTGGAATATATATGAGATGGTTCATATTGTCCTTCAACTAATTTCTACAACAGCTACCCTCACCTCCTGCCCTAGAGGGCTGTCTCTTATACAGAGGCATAGAAGTTAGTTTCAAATTAGAAAAAGTCACAGAACCCATTCACAAAATGGGTCTCAATTTTATATGTAAAGTATACAAGAAGATAGATAAGAAACAGCTTTGAACAGCTTTCCTTTTTAAATAAGGAAAGATTTGTCTCTTTTGAACATCTGAATTCATATGCACTCCCAGTGAGGTAGGCCTAAGTGTTTCAGAACTATAAGCTAAGTATATTGTATAAGCTCCTTTGAAAGATTTTATATATGTATATGAAAAAATATAAAAAATACATATATATATATATGAAAATATGACTGCTACACTATGTTAACCGTGTTTCTACTCCTGTATTTGACAAAAAAGACTCTGAGAATGAGAGCAGAAAAAATTCCCAACTTCCTCCTTAGATTCATTATATATGAATTGGGGGTAGGGAGTTAAAAACATCATCCCATGCACAACAAAAGTTTCAGAGTTCTGAAACATTAGTTTTCTTTGCACTGGTATCATCATTGCTTTTTGGAAGAAGCAGAGGATTAAATTGCTACCATTCTTCAGACAGGTTAATGAAGGGGACTGCATATGCCATAATCAAGAGAGATCAAACAAGAGAGAAATACATTAACATACCATGGGTGCAGCCTTGCCACCTGTGATCTGCAAGATCCAGTATGATACAGAAAAGTCTGAGGATTTATAGAGTTTATTTTTCTACTTTGATTGGAGTGAAAAAGAAAATGCATTACTGTTATAAAAGACTCTGTCAGACTCTGCTCACATTAAAGCCAACACTAAAATTTATCTTGAGTTCATGGGAGGCCAACATGTATCCCAAATCTTGGCTCTTCCATCAGGCTATAATCCATGACCTATATCTTGCCATCAGTGGCCATCTCCATACTAAAATTTAGATCAGAAGCTTATATGAAGATTATATGGCTTGCTTCTGGAGTATTTGAGAACTGTGTTACAAAACAGTGAAACACTGTTTCTCAGTCTGGGTATGCCTCTGAAATTGCAAATGCACAGGCCACAGCATGTTTGTTTTAGCACTCACTATTTTTAGGCTGTTCATAAGGAAACCCTCAAGATAGAACATTTATTTTATGAACTCACCTTTTCACCTTAAGCATCTTAACAGTAAATGTTCTGTTCATGTGCACAGGCAGATAGGCTGTAGCTCCTGTAAGAGATCATCATAAATAGTTATGTCATGCCAGCATTCTTGAAGGTGCCATCTCTTTCTGTCCTGTCTGCATCTACTTTCGTCTTGTCACTGGTAAAATTGTAATAGCACTCAAATACTGTAGGTGCTCTGTAGACACTTAAAAATGGTTCCTCTCCCAGTCACTTTACAGCCTTAAAAGGTGCGAACATGGAAGAGGGAGGACACAAATAAAGTGAAAGCCCCATTTTCCTCATCCCATCTGAATGCCTCTGGTTCTTCAATATTAACATCAAACGACTTTAACACTTTTAAGAAAATTTTTGGGCCATCCTGATTCAGTTGTTCCATCAGCTGCTACGTGAGCACCTCCCACATGATGGTGCTGTCCAGCCTGAGCAGCGGGCAGGCTGAACTGCATTTCTTCTTGCCACCGAACTGAGTCTTTCCTGCACTACTGTTCTAATCCTTTCTCCAGATATTGGGATGAAGGAGGGCAAATGAAACAGGAGTAGCCTTCTATACAAGATAATCTCCTGCTCTATGGTTGCTACATTTAATTGGGCATACACCTTCTTCCTGAGTTTGTCCTCCGCAGAGCTACACTGAAAAATAAGCTAGAAATAGAAATGGTTTGTGCAGCTGAGCAATGATTTACACTTACAGACATTGGAACAAACATTTATAACTGTTGAATTTTCACCCATGTTCTTCCCATTTCATCTCGGATCCTTAGCTTTCAGTAAGGGAAACCTTATGTAACATGTCACTATTTTGGACAATCAGTTCACTTTTAAACACCCTGGACAAAATAAGCTTTTCTATCTATTACACATGATATGAAAATACAACTTATGATTTAAAACTATGAAACATACTTTTAGCTGCATATAAATACACTACTATAATGATAATCCACATAAAGTCATGGACCAAATTTTCACTCATATGTGGTGCATTCTCTTGTCTATCTAAAATTATTGATGATATGTATCTTTCTCTAGAGAAATCTGAAAAAATGTCAGAAAGTGTCAAATCCAGCAAGATCACCTCGAAAGGTTCAAAAAGATCAGCAAAGAAAGAAAAAGGTAAAACAAAGCTAAGGATCATGAAAAGGAAAAGGAACAGAGCTTGGTATGTAAGGTACAGCAACAATGAAACAAACAGCAGTCTGGGCTCCCACGGGATATATCTTACTTCTTTTGGCCCCATGCATTAAAAATCTGTGAGATCAATTAGAATATGCTATTTTATATAAATAACTGAGAGAGGTAAAATTACTCGTTATAGTTCTGTAACCAGCACTACTGATAACATCATGTCATTGTATTTCAGGTAAAAAGGATGAAGTTGATCTGTCTATGGCCTGTGTAGGTAAGTGCTATGATGACCAAGCTTTAAAGTAGCAGTTCTGGAATATTCAAAGCATTTTGAAGCTTCAGTGTTACAAATGCAGGGAAGAAAAATAAAATATTTTTTATGAATGGGAAAAATAGAAACTATTTAGAAATGCAGCTATCACAGTGTCTCTCCGAGTAGCAGGCAGTGCAGCAGGAAACAGGTATGGGTTTGTAGAAGAGGATTTTTTTCTTGGTTTTGAGAGGACTTGGGATAAGGGGAAATAAAATGCATCATAACAGAATTATAGGGTGCAAAATCTTTGCATTTAGAAATAGTTTAGCAATTTAAAGAAAAATATGAATATTTTTTATAATTCATTAATCTTTGATCTTTGTCAAACCATTATTAGATTTCATGAGAAGATTATTTTAGTATATCACTTGTGATTTTTAATCATAGATACCAAAAGACATCGACTAGCATTCTTTTTTTGGTAGGGAAAAAAATTAACCATTTAAAAGTCACAATTAGGCTTATGTATAAGTAAAGTTCAGTTTTAAGCATGGCCACAGTTAAGGGCTAAAAGATGTAATTATCCAAATTTAAATATATTCTTTTTTATTAGACACCAACATTATTTCCAATAGTTTGTTATTTTTCATATTTCTGGTTGCATTTTTCTTCTGACCTATTTGTGCAATTATTCCTCAGATATAGCTTAAATTGACATTAAAGTAAAATTTATCTATGGTTTACGAGAACAATCCAAAATGTTATCTTAATAATTGACTTGTAACAATACAGCTTTTATTGTTAAAAGCTAAAACAATGTGGCAAACAAGGAATACACAAACTAGGTCTTTATAAAAGCAACTGTAAATCACTTGTTTTCCTCCATAATCCTATGAGCACTGGGTGAAAATTGTTCTCTGGTTAGCATCACCAAAATGGCTAAACTGCAGTTAATGAAAATGCACAAAAAGTGATCCCTCAGATGATTAAAGTGGTACTTCAAAAAAATCTATTTTCAGTGTTCCAGGAGATAGTAAGAGAGAATTGTACCTCCACCTACTGGCAAATAAGGCTACAGCTCTAACAGCTAAACTACTGCTAGGAAGCTGTTGCTGAAAGCAGGAAAATAACACTGGTGTGAGCAAACACTGCCTGTGCAAGATTTAAACTCCATGCATACATTCCTTGGGCCTGCAAGTGTTCTTTACTTCTTCCTTGGAGTTTCTTGGTCTTTTGTGAAATTCTCATAGCTCTAAGACCTGCTGACTGTTACAAATGATACAAGTACAGTTTACTAATAGAAAAATAATGTGAAACCTATGATCAGATATTACACACATTTTCCTGGAAAGAAAAAAAAACATTCAATAAAAATGTTTATAATGTAAGAACTCCAGTATCAGCTCCTTATAATATAGATTCTGTTAAAAATAATATTCTGCAATAGAGAATTTTAGTTCTTTAGACTGAAGGGTGCAATTTTAATTCTGGTCATTACTTTGTTTTTAATTCGGGCTTATAGCAATAGAGTGTTGAAAAAAATGCACTTAGAGTATCTGCCTTACTCTGTTCCCTCTTGTAGTGATGTTCATTGCAATCTTGCTTAACTTTAATGCATGCTTGTATTGTTTCATTTGACAATGAAACCTACTTCTCTATAAAAGGATTTTTTTCAGCATTAGCATTTGTTCACAAGGCTGTATACATGATTCAGCATTTAAAAAACAGTAGCATGAAAGTTTATTGTTACAAACAATAATGTCTAAAACAACCATTACTCCTGACTGGGATTTTTGAGGTCTGGTGTTAGCAACAGTGAGTTTGGACCAGATGACTTCGAGGTCTTTCCCAATCAACATCCCTATGATTTTGTATTTTTTGGAAGCATCCACACAGAAATTCTGGAAATCTCCAAGATATCAAAGAAGAAAAATCATGCAGTATTGATTACAGCTTGTGATGAAAGTGAAGCAATGGCCCGTGCATGCTACAGATTGTATGTGCTATGAAATAACAAGTGGACACTCAGTTATACATACTTGGAACAGCGTAGCATGCAGCAGAAACATCAGGCATGCCATTTATTTTGGTGATGACTATGGCAGAGCAGATGCAGTGGAGTAGCAGCACTGAAAGATTTTAAAGGATAAATGTCAGATTCATCAAACATAATGTATTATGTGATAGGATTATGCAGAGATTAAGGAGGATTTATCGTTTTTTTAGTCCTTGTTGGCTTAGAGATGAAGTCTCAAAACGTGCTGACACAGCTGGTCACAATCACCATTTGAGGTATGTCAACTTCCCTTCAAGGCAGGCACAAAGAGGAAAAACCCCACAGATGCTGGGAATGAAGATAAAATACTAAGGAACTTGAACTAGGAAAAGAGACTGAAACAAAGATAAAAAGTATCAGGTATTATCACAACAGCCAACACATTTCAGTACAGAAAAACATTACACAGTGTACACGTCCCTAAGTCTTTAGGTTTCAGTTCACCAAAAAGATGAACATCTGATAACCTCAGGCAAAAATATGGTGGCCTTCATGAGGAATGCTCTTACTAGGGCAGCTGAGACAGAGCATGAGTCTGCTAGCAGGGAAGTATAGCAAAGGAGGAGTCTCAGGGGCAGGATTCCACTAGCTGGGCCTGGAGTGATCTTAGCCACTCAGAGCTGTAATGCAAGCTAGAGACAGAACGTGTAACATGAGAAAGACCAGCACTGCATACATTGCCTTACTCACATACAGCTGGCACACACAATAAGAAGGACTGTGTATTATCCTCTGAGTGTCTGCAAAGCTCAGCTGACAGGTCACATAACGGCATCCAGCCTCCCCAAAATTAATAAAGATATCCGTGCTCGTGCAAGGGCAAGAAATATCTTATTCTGAGTTAATATGAATGAACCTAAGAGAGATCATGTATGTACAAAAACATGTTCTCCAGTAAAGCTGAAAAGATGCATCTGACTTTAATCTCAGTGAGCTAATTTAGTCTCATCTGATTAGTGAGAAATAGTCTCTACTGCACTCTGAACTCAATGGGAACAAGATGAAAGTCTGAAATCAGAAAAGCATCCTTACTTGGGAAAAGCCTCACCTAGATTAAACTTTGGCTTAATATGGTGCTCCTCTACAAGGAAGGACCACAGGGTATTTATTCAAATAAATATTAAATAATAAATATTGCTCTCTTAAGTCAGAACCATGTGGTTTTGCCCTTAGTATATTAAAACCAATCCATTAAAGATTTTTCACTTAAGTTGTTAATAACCTGTTGATCAAGAAAAAAAAAAGCCCCTCACACTAGGGAAATCATATTCATTATGAGCAAATGAGTAGAGTATTTTCAAAGATTAATAAAGTAAATATAATTTGTATTTCATGCCTTCCAAAATACCAAGAACAAAGCTGAGAGATTCAAAGGCATTATGCTAGAAACAGTAAAGACATAGAGTTACCAAAGTCTATATGCATGTTTAAACAACACTCTGAAGTTATCACGCAATTTTGCTTTTTTCATAGGTCACCCAGAAATCTTTCCTTTGCTTTTGACTGCAAAGACCCAAGAAATTTTTAACTGCCGACCTGATGAAGATGTCACAGAAGAAAATTGTTTCAAGTGTATTAAAAAAGAGGACATAATTCAAGACCTGAAAACAAGAGCTAAAACGTCTGATTTCCACCCTTTCAAAAAAGTTATCCTGGTATGTAGAATATTTCATTCTCACTTTAAGACTTATGCTCTCAGAGTGTCTGTTCTTTTGAAGAATGGGTCTGCTCTTGTTTGACTCTGTGTAAACACACTGATGCTGTAATATCTGAGTGCTAGAGGTCATGGACCATTGTTGACTCAGTTTCTCATGCTTGCCATGCATATTTTTTTTACTAACTTCAGATTGAAAATATGCTAAAAGTAACATAAACACTATTCGTTTTGATTTTGTGAACTGACAGAGCTTCACATATTTGGCTTCTCCTAGTTCATGGCCTATTTATTGAGAATCATTAAAACAGTTTATTTTCTGTTTAACTGTCTGCATGAAAGATTAATTTTGTCCCAGGCTTATTATTACTACAAAATAAACACCATCTATTCCTTTCAAAAAGCACATTAAGTTTTCTGTTAAGAATACAAAATTCACCAAACATACTAAATTGGTGGTAGCATTTCCAGTCAC